AAAAAAAAAAAAAAAAAAAAGAAGAATAAAAAAGAAACACGAGGTCTTTCACCCCTTTCGATTCGAAGGAAGCGAATAAAATTTACAAAAATCATCCGTTGTCGCCGGCAAACAAACGTTGGATGTTTCGCACTGATCGTTTAAAATTCCCACGGGACGAGTTTGAATCGGTGGAAAGAGGGTGCGTTTGCCAGAAGAAAGAGAAAGGGGAAAAAAATTGGGGATGAAAATTCGCCTCTTTAACAGAAAAATTCGTGGACGAGAGTTGAATACAGATGACCGATCCCCTCCCCCCTCCCCCCTCCTCTTTGTCGCGGACCTACCTTGTTACCACGTTTCCCCAACCGCGACGTTGAATTCTTCTTTCGTTCACCAACAGAAAAGAAAAGTTCTCGAAGAAGAAGATCGAAGTGTTCTCTCGTTCACCCTCGTTTCCCCCCCCCCTCTTTTCTTTCCTTCTTTTTTTTTTTTTTTTGGTTTAACGATCCACGTCGCTCATCCCTCGACGGAAGTTCTTTGATTTCGACCTCGAGACTTCTCCTCGAGCTTGAAACATCGGCGAACGGTTAGCCTATCCTCCCGCTTTCTTTTTTTTTTTTTTCCCCCCCAACAACACAGTGATTCGTGAGTACATGGAACGAGATATTAGTTTCACACGACATTTTCTACTGGTAAAATGCAATCATACCTCGGTTGGAATCGACGTACGAGCGTTCTCCTTTCTCGTTCCTGGCCTGCAATGGCGGAATGATCGTTCCTTGTTTCGCGAGCTGGTAACGTAGTGGGTGTTGATTATTTTCTAAATGCTTTTCCACGATTAACGGGATCCACGGCACGTTTTAATCTTTTCTCGGACAACAATAGCTAATAATTGTCGTGAATTTTTAATTATTTAAATGGTTAGACGATTGTTCGAATTCGGAAATTCGTGTCTATTCGAGTAAAATATCGTTCGTTTTTGTTATTCATCGGGTGGGATCGATGGGAAAAATTCGAATAGATTCGTTTCTCTAAGGATCGGTCGAGAAAGAATTTTGCAACATTTTCAGTTTCAATATTCTTGCAGAGTAATGAAATGCCCAGGTGTGGCGTTTAATTTATGCGTTATTTCTGTAACAGGCGGTAAACAGAAATTTGTTTACAGTTCAATCAATTACACCGAGTTTGCGTTCAACTCTTTCCCCGATAAATTTATCAGGATATGGATATGGATTGCAACGAATAATAGGAAGGAGCGATACAATCTATAGCGAGTCTATAGGGAAGAAATTGTATTCGAAACGATCCACTTGTACATACATCGTACTTCCTAGAAATCCCTAGCTACAAATTTCCGAATAGCCACCTGTTGCTCGATATTCAATCTCTTTTGTAATAGTATTAATATGAACTGCGTACAATATATGTGTAAACACGCGTTACACTTGCGGAATTCGATCATCATCGATATTTTCCTTAACAGTTATTTCGCGATCGTACGAATGTTTGTTAAGAGAATTAAGAAAAAGAATTATTTATTAAGAGAGAAATGAAATCGTAGCAAAAATTCGATGGAAAAAAATTACCTTTCGAATAAATTTATTCGATTATTAATTCGATTAATCAATTCATCCAATATTTTTATTTTCGACCAAAGTGGAAAAATTTCGAATAATTTTGAACGGATAATTCATCTTGAAACAAGACGAGAGAGTTGATGAAATCGAGACAAAATCGTGAATGCAAAATGGGAGAGAGATAAAGTTTCGAATTTGAAATATATTCAAGTTGAATATTCTCCGAAGACCAAAAGCCAGTGTTTAAATTTGTTTTGAAGTTTGCGTCTCTTCTCTCGTTAACTGGAATTCAGAGAAATACTATTTCATTCGGGGTTTAATTCTAGATGTAAGTTTTTTCTTTTTTTTTTTCTTTTTCATTCGAAACGAGCAAAAAATTAATTTATATCTGGATAAAAAAATTTATTCAGAGCGATAAGTCCTCAATGTTTTACATTTTTTTTTTTTTTCACGTCGTCTTTCGTATGAAATTTCTCGACTCAGTAAATCACCATTTCCATCAACCATTTCAATATTTCTCTCGCGACAATTCCAGAATTTAATATCTTTCTAATTTTCAATATTTGTTCTTCATTGCGAGCTTACCAATCTCTATCGAACATTTGTCCTCGAAATCTTAACGAAGTGAAGTGCACTTCTTATCTATTTTAAATCGCCTCCTTTTCTTTCTTTTTTTTTTTCTTTTCTCTAAATTTAATAAATCTTTTTTCCTCTCTTTCTCTATTTTTTTTTTTTTTTTGTAGGCGTAAAAATTGAACAACGTTGCGCTTCGAGCTCACGTGCAAATCGTTAATCTATCGGGAAATCAGAAAATTGGCACGTGTTTTTTACGTTACTCGATTCAAAAGTGGAATTCGAAATCGATAACACGCTCTTTTCTTGTATAAGCTTGTCAGACATAATATACGGTTTCTTTCGTCGATACATCGATTCTATCTTTATTTTGCTGTAAAAATATTTTATTCTCGATAATATTTTTTTTTCCTCGAAAATCGTAATATTCGAGGAAGATTTAAAATAGAAGATTTCTGGAGAATAAAATCTTTTTCTTCGTCGAGTATTTACATATTTGAGCATTGAAAGATATGATAATTAAATGGAAGGAGATGTGAAAAACGATTGAAGATATTAATACAATTATTTTGTATCTCTTTGGAAAAGTTTATTTTTTCTTCTTCTTCTTTGAAAGATATATCCTTCTATTTTCCTTCTTTTTTTTTTTTTTATTCTTTATAAAACTTCGAAGGAGTATATATTTCACATCGAAGGATAGATGCGAAGGGAAAGGATAATCCGCAACTATCATAATGATACTGAAGATTCGCTCGAAGGTTCATTGATATATGAAATTTTTGATACATGGGTAACCCTATCTATATACGGATTCTAGAGTTCCTTCAACTCTGAGATCAGAGAAAATTTTACAACGGTTATCAATTCAGAAAAAAGTTTCGAACAACACTCGAGCAAAGAGATATAAAAAGTTTGTATCTTCTTATTTTTCTTTCCCAATCTCATTCGATTTATTCGTTGAAAATAAAATTCACAAAATTTATTCTCCACATCTATTCTTCGATTACTTTCGTTTCCATAGTTCTTTTTTTTCTTTTCCTTTCACTCGTACGTAAAAAAAAAAAGAGAAGAAATTAGAAATTTCCTTTATTCTTAAATCCGGTTCAAAGATCGAAATCAATTAAAATTGAATACGACAATTTTTCAAAAAAATATCTCAAAATTCACTGCGATCAATTAACTTTTTTTCGTTAACAGAAACGGCACGCAAATATTCTCGAACGTTTGTATCGTTTCGACTATATAGTTATGAGTAATTAAACTTCCCCTTCCTGTTGGCAAAATTTAATCACTTTCGAAATTCGTATCATCCTCTGGATCAACAGTGCACAAGGATACGGAAAACTATTAAATCGAATTTGTTGGGCAATCAAAAATCGTATATATTCGTTTCGAAATGAAAATTTTGGAAAAAAAAAAAGAAAAGAAAAAGAGAGACGATTCTCCTGCTCCTCTGCACTCTTCTGCGTTAC